ACTCTCTACACCATCGATCTTACATTCATTGACGCCATTAAAAGGCAAATAATTTTTAACTTTGTAGATATCAATCAACAAAACAACATTTTAATATAATCGTAACCCAAACACCAATGTCAATCTAGTCAGCCGTCATGGAAAATCATAAAAAATCAAATAAGGATACGAAGCTGAGTACTTTCACCCACAACGTCTCAGCTTCTACTGCCTTTCACTGTCTATAGCCAGATGTGGGAAGGCAGTTACTCCTAATTTTCTTAAAGTAGAAATGAACTGAAATGAAGCCACCCTAATATTTCTACTAATTAAACTCCCAACCTCCACCCTTACAAAAAATATTAAACAGAACTATAAAATATTGAATAGAACTATAAGATATTAAATATAACTATAAAATATTGGATAGAACTATAAGATATTAAATATAAGTATAAAATATTGGATAGAACTATAAGATATTAAATATAACTATAAAATATTGGATAGAACTATAAGATATTAAATATAACTATAAAATATTGGATAGAACTATAAGATATTAAATATAACTATAAGATATTGGATAGAACTATAAGATATTAAATATAACTATAAAATATTGGATAGAACTATAAGATATTAAATATAAGTATAAAATATTGGATAGAACTATAAGATATTAAATATAACTATAAAATATTGGATAGAACCATAAGATATTAAATATAACTATAAAATATTGGATAGAACTATAAGATATTAAATATAACTGTACGCCCCACCTTGAAATTTCTATATAGTTCTTACTCCCAACCTCCTCCCTTTCTCCTGAAGATATATTCAAGTATAACACGGGAAAGCTGGGACAAGCCCAGCTACTTGATGTAAATCTTTCGGTCCCCATTATACTGAATAAAATTACTTGAAAAAATTGCTATTAGCTACTTTTAAGTTAAAGTAACTACCTCCCTCTTTATTTGATTTATTTTTATAAGATATTTTCCTCAATCTATAGTTTAGTTTTTAAAATATTTTTGTATTTATTAAAATATAAAGTCAGGTATTTTTTAATTTCCTGTCTTTATAGCATTTATTTTTCAGTTTATTTTTTTATAATAGAACATTATCCATTCTACACATACACACGCATATATATATATATATATATATCAGTACATCTGTGTTTGTCTCATTCCTGTTTTTGTTGTTGTATAACTATATAAAATTGGTATATTTTGTAATGCTTTTTGTTCTGTTTGTATGTTTTGAAAAGTGTTAATTTCAAGGACATGCGTGTTTTTATATGAAGATTATTACTGGAAATAATTATTTAAGGTTTTTATTTCTAATGGTTGCATGTTTCGTGTTCAATGAAAAATTTTGTTAAATGCAAACATTTCCTTTTTCCTGCTTTTCATTTTCTTTATCTTTTTATTTCATTATTAAAGAATTTTTCATTCAGTTTATTTTATATACTGATGCATAATGTATTAGACTAACTGCTCCTAAGTAGGATAGATTATCTTTGCTTAAAAATTATTTTCAAAATATGAGATTTCTGTGATAAATGCTCTTTAATTTCGAAATTGTAATTCATTTGTTTGAAGACTGTGTGTGTCATCCATGTTGTATGTAAACATTTGCAGGGGTGAAAAAAGTTAACTCCTTGACCATGGCACAAATGTAAAGTTAATTGTTGGCTTGAGTAGATGGGAAAGAAAAATTGTAGTATGTGGGCAAATCATGCGTTTCTATTTTCTTATTTTTAGGCAAAAATTTTAATTTTTGTTAGTATATTGTTTGTTCTGAACCTTTGCAATTTTGCATAATAGGTGGTCCAGAAAGCTGTTAAGTTGATAGTTTAGCTGCCTTTTTAGTTGCTAGAGACAATACCTTTTCTGACCATGGGAGTCTTGCTGTAATACTGCACATTGTGCAATAATGTAGTCGACAGCTGTGGCCTTCAATTGTAGATCAGATTATATCTCGACATTACAGGGCCCTTATATGTTAAATGAGAATGGTCAGTCATGAGTGTGGAGCAAGTCGATATGGGTAAGTCCAACATTTCCTAGTAAGTAAAAAACATTAGATTTAAACAGTACTACACAGGATCTCAAATACACTGGTTGATGAATAGACTTCTTAAGGGAAGAAAACCATTTCAACGGATTCACTTATCTAGTGTCCAATGAAATTATGTGCAGTTTGTTTCTTGTCTTTGTGAATAGATAGATATTGTTTTCATTTTGAATCATACGTCTGTCTAGTCTGTTTATTTCTTAGATTAAACTCAATCAGTTTAAGTAAATTCACTATTACTTCGTCATTTATTCGATCTTTCCTTTCATTGTAAAGTGGACTTACCAAATACTCTTTGCAGAAATCAGTTTAATCTAGAAATACCACATGCAGTCGTTTCGACAGCCTTAGGGCATGCACTTATAATTTTGAGCTAAATGCAAAATTTCCCTTACAGAGCTAACATTTGTTTAAACTATCTCTACTCTTACTCTGAAATTACCTTTTAAAAACGTATTGAGAAGTAAAGATCATCCTTTGGATTATCTAGAAACTAGAACATCGAATTTCTTGACAATTAAATAAAGCAGTTGCTGGTAAGCAACACAGAGGTTTAAAGATATCTGTCAAATCTTGCTATTCATTTCCGTGAAAGACAACTATTCTCATTAGATTTGAATTAAATCTAGAAAATAGCAATGACCTGTGATCCACAAATTTAACTATGAATGGTTTTTTCAAACCTTCCTTTTAGATCCAAAGTACATTTTGTAGTATTTTCAAGCAAAATAAATTCCCTATCAAATATAAAATAATTAAACCCACAAACAACAGATGATTCAATTAAGAAATAAAAGGAGTAATCTATGTTTATTAACTTGAAGGAGCTTATTTCAATATGAAGTAGTTAGACTGGATAAATGTACGTAAATAGTCGAACTTTTTATTATGACAAATAAATACAAAGCACAGTGTGCATACTTGCACAGGTGGAATCACAGTCGATTCTACTGTGGGTGTATTTAGCTCCATAGCTTTCTTTCTTTGAAGATAGACTTCCTTCCAAGTAAACACGATGATCTTAAAGTAAGTCTTCACTCTGGATCTCCTAGTAGAACTAGCTCAAAGAAACGCACCTGAATTCAAGTAAACTCGCTTTATTTGTCCAGTCGACAGCATCATCTTGTAACCTTTGCTCTCTTACAGCATTCGGCTGTTAAACTTAGATAACGTCAACAATGCTTACAAATGATGTAACAGTGATAATTCTTTCAAACCATATTCTTTATGTTACTGCAACATCCTCTCTGGAAAAATAGGCATTGTTTACTTTTGAAAACATAGAAAAAAGCAGCTTGAACAAGGCAATCTTTATCAAGCCTTCCCTAAAACTTTTTTTAATTTACTCTTTTCACCACATCTGAAAGCAGCCTATTCTAAAGGCCAACAAGAAAGTTAAAAAGTGCGTTAACTTAAGGTGACTCCTTCACTGCCATAATTTATATTTGTGTCCCTTAGTCCTACCATTAAGTACGGAAAAAAATGAAGCATCGACACTATCAATTCCCTTAACACTCTTAAACTCCTCAATCAAATCTCCTCTAACTCTTCTTGATTGAGAGAAAACATCTATAATTTCAAAGTTTTTAGCCTATTCTTCTATGACAATCTTTCCGTCCCAGGTATCATCCTAGTAGCCTCCTTTCAACCTTCTTCAACAATTCAATGTCTTTCTTAATGTAACGACAGCGGTAGTCACGTGACGCTGGTGACACGTCATGATATTCTAGAAGATTCACGAAGAAACGAGATGTACGCTTTTTTGTATATATAAGACCGGTAAGAAGTGACGGCAACAATGCAATTGAATTGCAGACAGAGATAGAGACGGACAATTGAGTCAAGCGCGTGAATCGTTCGTTGTGAATTATAGCGTTTGTTTAAGTTATAGCGTGGCTGTGGAAATTAAGTGTATTGCAAAGTTGTATTGAGAAAGAATAAACTAATTTTATTTAAGAAAGGACTTGTATCGCTAAAGTTTCTTCGGAAATAATTTGTACGGAAAATTAACAAACGAACACAGAGACGTAACACTAAGATAAAGAGCTCAAAACTGCCTACAATACTCCCAATGTGGCCTAAGCAGTGACCTATGCAATGAAATTATAACCCTTTTAGGCTAGTATTCAATATTTCTGTATATACAACTTAGAATAGTGTTTGCTCTACCACTAGCAACAGCACACTGCTTGGATGGTGTAAGAGATTGGTCAACTAGAACACCAAGATGCTATTCTCCATAACACTGTTTAGATTATTTTCACCAAAATTATACTCATAAGTTATATTATGATATTCCTCATGCATTACATTGTTTTTATTATAATTAAAACCATCTGCCGTTCATAGGCTCAACATTCTCCTCACAGCCAGCAACACTCAAAACCTTAATATCATCGAAAAAGTTAAGTAATTTATTGACCATTCCTTCATCTATGTCACTGATGTAAATCTAAAAGAGCAAAGGCCCTCTCTACCACTGAGCCATGTGATACCTCACTTGTGACATGAATTCAACTTGACTGAACTCCATTTAACAAAGACCCTCTTTTCTATCCCCTAAACCTGTACAGATAATTTTTAACAAGCATTTTATGTTGCACCTAATCAAATGCTTATAATCTTTCTTAGACTTTTTCCTCATTTCGATAAAACGCCTATAAGGTTCGTATTCTTGTAGTCTAGGAAGTTTTTATTTATATTTATTTTAATTTCTCTTTTTACTTATTTAGAAAAATACTATTAGTTAGAATGAAAATTATGAGAGACATTAAAGTCCTTTCAGCTGGCTTGATTAAACTAACAACCAAAGAAAAGAATAATATAGAACATAAATCAACAAAACTTTTTATTTCATCAAAAACATTATGTGCGCTACAATAATTTTTTAATAAAGACTAACGCTCCATTTTTGTTGCTAGATTGTAGATGTCACCTTAGACAATATTTTTAAATTTTAGTTTGAATTTAAATTTTGAGTGGGGTATAAGTCGTATCTAAATCTAAGTTAGACTCGTTTGGATTAAGGTGGAACTGTTATAAAACTGTAATCGTAAGATTAATTGCAATACGCGTGAGGTGACTATTTGACAACCCGTGTTCGTAAAAAAAACTTAGTTATTGCAATGTTTAATGTTGATTCAGAAAGTTCTAATACTTCGTCATGTTTTGTGTGGCCTGAATGTGACCCGAAAAGATTACAAGATGTTATTCGACATGCTTCATTAACTCTGTCGAAATCTGATATTGATAATGGTATTGTATTTTTAAAATAATATAGCTAAAGTTAATATGAAATTAAACTGGAATAGTTTACCCTATTTTGTGTTATCTTAATATCTGTACTGTTACTGGTAGTATTGTAATAAAGTTGGTAATAAACTAATAATATTAATAATTAATAATAATATATTAGTAATATATGACGATAATTGATTGAAAAACCTAACGTTATACTCACTTGTAAGTTGTAGTCGTTATTTATGGGGTTTTTCAACACCAACAGTAAAGAACTAAGAAAAGCTGTGTATAGGAGTAAGACTACTACTAATAGTAATGCTAGTACTCAGTATTAGTAGTCAAACAAAAATTTGAACAAAATTCTTATTTATTTATTACTAAATATTAATCTAACACTAACACTTGCTGTTACTAAGTGTTAGTAACAGGTAACCTTGGGCACATCACTACATCTCATCAAGCTGTTGATGTTATAGAGAAGTAGAAGGGTGGTAATTTATTATTTTCCTTTTATTAAGACTTAATTATTGTTTTACCTTGTTTGCAATCTTCATATGTAATGAAGGTTTTATTATGTAAGTTTTTGGTTTTTGAAGATAGGGTTCATTCAGAAAAAACACATAAACTAGTGAGTGAGATCAGTATAGGTTTCCTTATCTAGTAAAGGATATTGACTTATTGGAAAGGATTCAGAGAAGAGCTGTTAGGATGATTCCAGGGATGGAAGTGTTATGAAGATAGGTTAAGATCTCTTATTTTCTTTTGAGAAAAGAAGGGTGGGAGGTGATAGTGAAGTTTACAAGATTATTCAGAATATTAATAGGAGGAAAGTCTCTAGTTTCATTGTGCTGTATACTGAAAACAATAAGACAAGAGGATATAAGTTTAAGGTTTTGAGAAGACACAGTGGCTCCAGTTAAGACAATTTTAATTTGTAAAAGGGTGATTAGCTTATGGAATGAGTTGCTTTTAACAGTAATGGAGGCTGGTGTCTTACAAGAGCTTAGAAAATAAAGGGTGGGCTTAAGTGTTTACTTTTTTTCTCAAGAAGCAGCCTTAAAGGACCAAATGATCCATTTTTGTCCATATGTTATAAAATAAGCAACCAATTATAATGATGGATTGACAAACATCAACCTACTACACTTGCAGCTGCAAAGATTTAGTTATGGAAAAGCAGGAGGTATTGTATTTTCAGTGTAATTATTTGAGTAAAAAAAAATTGTATAAGTTAATGGAATCTTGGATTTATACTAGCACAATGTTTGTCAATAAAATGGGATTAGTATAGTTCTTTTTTTTTGTTTAACATATATGAAGAAACAGAGTTCAAAGGCCACTTAGTCCATCAAGGTTATCCTAATGTTCTAAAAACAACATATACCAACCTAAAAGCTCCATTCATTTACATACATATACCTCAAACATTTAAAACAATAAAACTGGACAGCACACATCATATTATGAGCTAAGTCGCTCTATATGTTAAGAAATCGATCGTCAGACTTTGTTATAAGGGTGAAAGACTAATTGAACCATTTAGTAGTTGGTTCCCTCTGAAGTTTCCCTCAAGACAGCTTGTGGTCATGGATAATCAGTCTAAACTAGTAAAACAAATGATTAGAGGTCTGTGGTCTAAAATGACCTCAACCTATTCTCCAACTTTCATTCTTCAAAGTTAAGAAGTTTATTACTAGGTTTTGAAATTATATATATTAAGAAAAATTACAGTATTGAAGTTCCCATTTTATATAGCTTCTCAGTTTAAATTAAAAAACAAATTCAAAGCATTGTGCCTAAGCTCTTAGAACTTGGAAAATTATTGAAATCAACTGTTAGCTTCATTCTGTTAACCCTATTTTGCACTCTTCTCAGCAGATTAATGTTCTTCCTATTATAATGAGATGGAAATGATTATTACAGTTTTACCAAAATTAACAATTGCACTAAAAAAATCTTTTTTAATCTACAAGTATGAGTTTACACTACTCAATATTGAATTGCATTTAGATTGTTTTGAATCAAAATGAATTCTTAAGTTCTTAGCGTCAATTATTCCCAGAAACTTAGTGTCATTAGAAACTTTAGTTAATTTATAACCCACACTGGTATTGACATAATTTAACTTATGATGAACAATACAGTTCCCAAAAATGGCACCAGGAGTATTCCACTAACCACATACATCCATTTGGAAAACTGGCTTTTACCATTCACTACTTTCTATGATGAAGTTGAATTCCAATTAACAAAAATTATCTAAACTATTAAATTTGTGTACATTGTACTTCATCAAAATTTTGTGAAATAAAAGATCTTTCCTTAAAAGGTATCCTTACTCAAAAACACATTTATTACCAAAAGTAGTTGGGAAAGAACAACATTAAACAGCACACACTACATCAAATGGCAAAATATTCCATAAGTTTGTAATTACACAGCAAAGATAGTTTTTAAAAAATAAAAACACGTTATAATGACAAGAACTGATTGAGTACGTCTCTCATCTGGAAGATTAAACGTAATGGATTGATGTTATATTCACAAAAATTACTGAAGAGAAGCCATGCATGTAGAGAGATAGTGAAGGCTGTTACCTCTGAGCTTGTTTTAACTATAGACAGAGCTCCATTCTAATTCATAAACAGGCTTTACAGGTCACTACAATGCACATTAAAATGCAATCACTAAATTTACACCTTATAGTGCAATATAGTGAAATTACAGTTTTTTCAAGTTTGCATAACCAAATAGGTGTCATACATCTACTATAAATTAAATTGTAGTGCCTGTATAAAATATTTTCATAGTCCACTTACCTACTGATAAGAAGAGATTCATGAAATTCCAGTAGTACAAAATTATATTTTGTTAAATTGTTTCTATACTTCTTCACATAGCATCAACCCTACTTTAGAAAGATCATTACGTCAGACAATTTAGTCTATTTGGTAGGTTGTGTTAAACAAAAAGTAATAGTTCACACCTATGTACATCCCATATTACAATAACATACTCCCTTTTTTAACTTGTACTAGCCAACTTCAGCTTGGTTTAAAACTTCTGAATTGTATTAGTGGATTCAGAAGTGGTTACCTCTGCTCCACAAAGAACTATTACTTGTGTGCACTGTCATATAAATTTCTGCACATTGGAAAGGCTTTGAACAAAGCTTCCATCATTACATGTGTCAATGTGTATTGCTCCAGCCTATGATGTAATCATCATTAGAATATTAACCTCCACCATTAGGAGGGTGACACATCCTTCGTGCACAGTAATCGCCATGAGCACTACCATTTGAACACAGGCTCATTTCTTTTGTCAGACTTCTTGTCTTTAGACATGTTTCTTTCATAAGATTTACCAGAACTTTTTTGCTTGTTGTCATAACCTTTCATTACTATTTGCTGTGAGTCTTTTTTTTTATATAAATTAGAATTTTCATTTTAATTATCTTCAATTTGATTTGATTTTAAGGAACTTTGCCCTTTTGGGACACGTGTCCCATTGTCTCTTTCTGTTGTTTTATCCAACATAGGTTGTTTTTTTCTTTTACTCTTCATGGTTATCATTAGGCATATGCACTGTCACCATACCTAGCTTATTTTATTTTATAACTAGTAATATAAAAAACAAAAACATCTACATATTTTACCAAAACAGTCACAATATAATTTCGTGGATTAACTGGAATATACATTCATATTCACATATTTTTGATATCTCCTGAGGTTTTCAACACAAACTCACAGAAGTCATCCAACACTGTAATGGTGACTGGAGACACTTTAATGGTCCATGTTATTATCAACATTGTGCACCACATAGTTAGCGCCATTCTGATCTTGGATCCAGGACTCCCTGCACTATTTTACATTCACCGCTATTGTTTCCATGCCTGCTTTTGCTTCTTATTCCCTCTTCCTGATGTGGATCAGGTAGTCCCACTTACATTTTCTCCTTCACTGCTTGAATTCTACAAGTATGTGTCTTGTGTTTTCTCCTTCTCCTGTAAGTGTTTGCTGAATCTCTGGCTTCCTTGTTGGATAAGCCTCCTTCACCTAAATCTTTTCTTTCAGTTTAAGGATATCCTACTTTTCTTTCCTTTTTCATTCTCTCCATCTGTTTGTGTATCACTTACTCAACTTATTTGTTTATTTTCATATTTCACCTTCATTTGGAGGCTTTCTATCATGCCCCTATCAGCTTTACTGGGAAAACTTGTACATATCTGTTTTTCCACCTTGTCTTTAGTTTTCTTCATTTTTTTTTCACAGTTGCCTTGGTTTCTCTGTTTATGGGATGTACTTTGTCAGATTGTCTTACTTTCTCACTTATGCTTCCGTCAGTCTCCTTTGCTTGTCATTTGTATTGCACCCTTTCTTTCTGGTGTGGTTCTTTTTATGGTATTTTTTATACATTACTACCTGGAGCTGATGTAGCTTTTCAGCAGTCTTCTATGCTCACTTTTGTTTCTTTCCTTTAGGATCAGAGGTCCCATCAGGTTTCTTATTGTATAAGCTTCTTAGGTTTGTTTTTCTGTTCTTTGTTTTCTTGTTGCTATTCACAGTTCCCCTCTCTTTGAGGACTGACTGTCATATGTCTTAAAAGTGATTTGTTTCTGGAGTCACTCTATTGATCCAGTCTTATTGGAACTGCTTTCCCATTTTTTCCACTGGTGGACACCCTTTGATACAGCCAGTTGAGTTCCTCAGGGATGTTTTGCATATTTCTACTCACCACCTCACCTGTTTCAAATGCCATGGGACAATTTCTTAACCCCACTCCGGGGTTTTACTCCTATCTTTTTATCATTCCCATAAAGATGGGAGGTTGCCATTCAGATATCAATCTGTCCCACTTGACCCAACTTTGATCTTTACACAGTTCTCGAGAGGCAATTTTCCTTTTACCTGGTGGATACTCTTCCTGGTGTTAAATGACCCTATTTGGGGCTCAGGCACTTTCCCTACATCCTAACTTGTCTGCCCAGCTTTCATTTCCTTTGGTTT